TTTGCAGCTAATTTGGGGAGCGCGGAGGGGGAAGTGGGCAGAGTCGGGGAAGGGGAGCGGTTGGGCGTCGGGGACCAGCTAGAGGCACAGGCAGGAGGCGAGAGTGGGCTGGGGGCAGAGGTGCAGCGTTTGCTCGGATTAGAGTTGGAGACGGAGTCGGAGATGGGTCGAGGGAGGGACGTAGATGGCGTCGGGGATGAGGAAGCCAGAGAGTGACCACCGCAGCCGGGACGCGGCTGGGTTGGGGACCTGGTCGGGCTCAGGGTCCGTAATCCCTCTCCCGTGCGCCCCTTGCTCACGCCGTCCTGCCTCTCGCTCTCCGCCCTGCAGGGACCGCAAGTGGCGACTATGGGAAGACTGGGCTACTGGACCTTGCTGGTGTTGCCGGCCCTACTGGTCTGGCGCGGTCCGGCGCGGTGCGCGGCGGCGGAGAAGGGTCCCCCCGCGCTGAACATTGCGGTGCTGCTGGGTCACAGCCACGACGTGACGGAGCGGGAACTTCGAAACTTGTGGGGCCCGGAGCAGGCGACGGGGCTGCCCATGGACGTGAACGTGGTAGCGCTGCTCATGAACCGCACCGACCCCAAGAGCCTCATCACGCACGTGTGCGACCTCATGTCTGGGGCGCGCATCCACGGCTTGGTGTTTGGGGACGACACTGACCAGGAGGCTGTGGCCCAGATGCTGGATTTTATCTCTTCGCAGACTTTCATCCCCATCTTGGGCATCCACGGGGGCGCATCCATGATCATGGCTGACAAGGTAAGGGGCTAAGAGAGGGAGGGCTGTCCGGATCCCGGAGAAATCACCGCCGGTTCCTGGGCTCCCTTGGCATCTGTCATGATCTGTAGGTCGGAGGACTTGTGGCCTCTGGCGCTAGTGAGAACCGGGCCTCGATTCTCCAACCGGAAATGGAAGGAAAGCACAGGACCAGGGAGAATATGGAAAGGGGTGGAGGTGGGTGATGGCAGTGGGATGCTTGGAGATTTCCAAGCAGGGCCCAGCAGAGAGCTGGGAGCAAGTGGGATAATATGGTTCATAGTCCTGTAATATTGGTTTTACCTGACTCTTTGGAGGAAAAAATCCATTTATTTCCTAGAACTATTTTTTTCTTTGCTAGAACTATTTTAAAAAATATTAAAGGTGGGTATATTGTGAGATGAAATGTGAAGTTATTCTTAGGTAAAGACAGAAAAATATTAAGGTTCCCCGGAATCTCTGCAACAAGAGGCAAAGAGCCTGAGGAACCTTGGGCTAGAAAAGCACAGGTTAAACCTTTCCTCTAGGAGTGGAGGGCTGGTGTCTCCAGGCCTAGACGGTGGAGGGCCTGACACTTTTCTTACACAGCCCCTGTGTGAGTCAGCAGGAACTCCAAGCCCACCGCATGGAGGAGTTGACTCCCAAAGACGATCGTAGTCTGGAAGTTGTTCAAAGTGAGGAAAGTGTGCTCAAGTCTCTTTAACGTTTGATGGCAGAAAGGCATTTTTGTGGCTGTCCAGAGAACCCTGGGTTATAGAGGGGTGGGAAGAAATTTGATAGATTGAGTGAGATGTCCTAAGGGCCCTGATTGGGAATTAGGCTGACGTGAAGGTGGGAAGGAGGAGCCAAGGGGGAAGTAAAGTGAGGAAAGGGGGACAAAGTGGGAAGGATTGGAGTTGTGGCTACGCTGCTAAGCCCCAGGAAAGATCTGGGAGTTGAAAAGGGGAGGAACACATGAGTATACATGTATGTGTGTGCTGGTCTGTGCCTGGAGACTTGCTTGGAGGGTACTCCTTAGATGGTGGGACGCTTCCTAGTAGAATATGCAGACATTCATTGCAGCACTTTCCTTTTGACACTCTCAGAGCACTTCTGGATTTATCAAACCCCTATTCTGGCTCTGCTCAGCACTTCCCACTGGCTCCTTTGGGAGCTGTATTAATTCTTTCAGGTCTCCTGAGCAGCAGCACATTCAGCTGAAACACACAACCGATGCAGTATCTTATTAAACATTCATTTAAAATGGTTTTACCACCTAGCAGAATCCTGATGAGTGGCTGAACATTTTCTCTCAATTTGGGTGGGTGGGTGGGGGAGAGCTTCTTTCTATAATGCAAAGAGTAGGGAGTTAGCTGAGCTCTATTCCCAATAAATAGGCCATTTCAGACAGGGCCTTAGGGTCTGGAGCATCCGGTAACTTTCAGATGAAGTTAAGTTTGACGAAGACCACACAGTAGGCGATAGAGCTAGACAATCTGGATTTCTGGTCCCAGGTTGTGATCTGATGTTCTATCAAGTCAAGCCTATCCTTTAATTTTGTCATACCATCGTTAAGAGAGACAAGATATCAATCTCATTATAAAGCAGATACTGAGCTGTGGAGAGGTACAGTGAATCACAGCCTAGGGGGAGGAGCCAGAAGTTGGCAAGAGGAAGATGAGAAAGGACATTTCCAGGGAAGACAATATTAGATAGGAGGAGAAAGAAGGAGCTCACTGGTTCAAAAATGGTGAAGGGGGTTGAATACTTCCCGTTGTCACTGCTGTCCTTAGAGTTGGTCTTGGAGAGAGTGCCCCCACTGTGTAATTCTGGTAGAACTGTAGGGAGTTAATGCAAAGGGGCAGCCCATTAAAGAAGTCAAAGGAGACAATGCTAGGAGCTTATGCTGGGTCCCCTGTGTGGGGTAGGCAGGTGGTATTGAGAGTAGTTGGTTTAAAGAGTGATATTTTGAGAAACCCAGATGTGTTTAAAAGGAAATGGATTGTCTGGAAGGGGACCAACTTTTCATCCCATTAGTGACACATCTACTGGGCAGGTGCCTTTACCACCTGTCTGGTTTAGAGCTGAACGCTTAGTGGAGTTTATTTGGCTCCAAAGAGTCAGTCGTGTGATGCTGCCTAAAACTCTGCCTTGCATGGGCGTGCCAGCTGTGTTAGGACCACAGTCTCAACTTCCCTGAATTGACAAGCCCTCCTTCTGGGGTGACTTTGACTTGGTAAGGTTGCCTAGAGCATCCCTGTTTTGTTTTTACTTCTAAATTGGCAACATGATAATGCTCATGTAAATAAGAATGGTGGTTAATTTGATTATCAGTGAAAGTGAGCCCACACACACACACACACACCCACCCTACATTTTCACCTTCACCCTTGAAGTAAAGAACAAAGCCTTGTAGTGATTGAAACGCTGTTAAGTGGCAGATTTTTGTAGTGTCAATTTAACTTACAAAACAGGTATTTATTTTTACTCGTATCAGTGTGTGGTCTTATAAAATTGGTTAACATAATGCTTGATGTAGACAGAGTTCTGATCTTATCTTGGCCAGACCATTTTGGCTCTGTCCAATTAATAGTCCCTGGTAAATCCAGGGAATGGAGTAGGCCTTGATGTTTCTGCTCGGTGTCCTGTGACCCCCTCTGTCCCTGTCCATGGTGGAAGAGGCAAGGTTATGTCCATCCACAACAGGCTCTGCTCTGGCTTTATATGTTAATTCTACACACACCCCATCTCCTCTACTAGAGTGAAAGCCCACTGAGGGCGTTTTTTAAAAAAGTGTGTTTATAGATGTACGTGTATTTGAAATAATGACTGCTACTTCTTCATGACACTTTATAAAAATGAGGTCTTTTTATTTTAGGGCACTTGAAAAAGTATATTAAAGTTTAAAGAGAAAAAAAAAAGGAAAATCTTGCTCCAAATTCTAGCACCAGAAGTAACCACAGCTAACATCTTGGTGTATTTCCTTCCAAGCTCTATTGAGCTACAAGTTGAGTATTGTATTACATATATGGTTTTTCTGATTGTATTTCGAATTCTGTAGGCTGCTGTAGATGGAAGACTCAGGTTTTTCTTTAACTCCTGAGAAATGTCAGCCACTGTCTGTTGAATGTCTTCTCTCTGCCACCATCTCGATTCTTTCCTTCTGAATAAGTATGTATCTGCAGCCAATTCTCCACTTATCCTAACTTAACTTCTTTTTTCCCAGCTCTCTTTGTCTCTGGGCTTTGTTTGAGGAGATTTTCTTAATTCTGTACTCCTGTTAACTACCTTGCTTCATTTGTGGCTGGTCTATTGATTTGTTTATGTGTTGAGCTTTTAATTTCACCAGTGACGTTCTTTATTTCTGAGGTTTGCAATTGGTCCCCCTTCCCTGTTTTTTCCCTAATAAATGATTTAATGAGCACTTTTTCTCACTTTGTGGATGTAAAGCCTCACTCTGACCCTTCAAGGAATTAAATTATAATTATACCTTTCTCCAATTGCTCTAGCATCTTTGTGAAGATTCAATTATAAATTCAATTATAAATTTTGCCAATTGCAGAGTCTGTTAATTTGAGTCTTCGTGTATTCTCTGGATTTTGTTTGTGAGCTTATCTTCAGGGCAGTTTTAGAACCTCTTCTTCTGGCGCCTGAAGGGTTTGTGCTTCTAAGGCACAGCTCATGCCACTAGCACAGTTCTGAGCTTCCTTCCTGCTCTGTGCAGCCTTAGGCCCACGCTCAGGCCAGTTTCTTGTTGGTGACTTCGATACCCACAGAGGCCTCCTTTTGGGCTGTGTTTTGGTGGGTGGTACAGATGTTCCAGTGCATTCGCAGCTAGCAGCATGATTCCACTGTGTTCTGTTCCCTTCCCCCAGGGGTGTTGATGTCTGATTCCCTGGTTCATGTTAGACTCATCACCCTGGATCATGTGGCTTTGATTCCTAGTCACCGTTGTAGCGTCTCATTTGTTTTAGTTTATTTTATTTTTTTGTGGTGTTGGGGGTTGAACCTAGGGCCTCATGCACGCTTAGCATGTGCTGCCGAGCTGCACCCCTGGCCGGAGTCTCAGGATCTGATACATTTTTAGGGAGTCCTTTGTATTTTAATCTGGGATTCTCTTATCTTAATTCCAAGCAGTACTATGTGAACTTTAAAATAACTGAAACATTCTCTATAAGTTCTAAATCTTAGGAGCAAAAGAGAGTGTTGTCGAATGTGTTCACTCTGATTTCGAGCCAGTTTTATTTCCCAACCTGCTTTCATGTTTTTAAAACTTGATTATGTATTCTTGGAATTTTCCCTTACCATTAAATAGATTTCTCAAATTTGATTCTAAATGGCTGCAGAGTGTTCTGTTTATACCACAATCGTTTTAACTAATCCTCTATTTTCCACCTCTAGTGAGCGCCATTTTGGGTTCCTAAATGTGTCCTTTTTGGCGCTCTGCACTGGTCTTGCCCTTTGTATTTGTTACTTGGTAAATGTTTGTTAATCAGATGACTTAAGTCATTGGTTCCCGTGCCAGCTCACTGCAGCTTCCAGACAAACATATCACAGTGAGTGTGGTTTTAGGCATCCCATGCAGAATTCGTCCCCTAAAGGCTGCGTGATTTCATGCATATGTTTGCCAAGTCTTCTTTTCTCTCCAGTGGGAGATAATTACCAGCCCTCCTAGGGATTAATGTGAGTTGGGGTAATGTATAAAAGACTCGTGGAGCAGTGCTGAGTAACAGATCATCAGCAGGAGGTGGAAGTTGGGGCTCTTGTCACCTCGCAGCTCCAGGACTGGGATGTGGGTAATGACCTTTCTGTTAACACTGAGCTCGTGGAAAGGGCAGACACCCAGCTCTCTGTGTGGGAGGAGCCCACTCAGCTCGCGATGAAGGGTGCCAGGTAGTCCCTGGGCGTTGGGGAGGCCTATCTTTAGCCCTTCAATGAGGCCTGTCAGTTGCTATCATCATCCACTCCCCCTCACATAAGTCATCAGAGAGTAACAGGCCTCCTCCCGTCTGGAGTGACTAACT